CGTTACCACCAGTGCGTGCCCCAGCCGCAGCTGACATGACAGTCTGCGAATAAAACATGTTAGAAGTGTTAAAAACTTGTCTATTAGTGAACACTGAGCAATTATTTAAAAAAAAATAAAAGAATTTGTACTCCTTACTTTAAGGTTTGACTAGTACAAAATGCCGAGTAGCCTTGAGTTCAAAATAAATAACGTACTCGTTAAGCTGTCGTGTAAGCTTGCCGCCGCTGTTCTGATCTATCTCCCGACCGGCGCAGGTCAGCTCTAGCTCCTTGCCATTGTCGAACACGCCAACAACCACGCCTTTCTGCAACATACCACCAAGACACTTGATAACTTCGTCTACTGCTTCTATGTTCGAAATCCATTTCACTGTTGTCGTGACCAATGTCCAATCACTAGACTAGAGCTCAGTAGGACAAAAGCAGGCGATGAAAGTTAGTCTTGGGAATAATCGTTGGCCACCCTAGGTGTCATAGAAATCTGCAGAAGTCTTGTATTAAGACGAGATGGCACGATTACATTGAAAAGGAAAGTGGATTCTTATCATTAGGGACCAAGGCATCAGCTCGATGCATCACCATTTAACCACTACATTCAGAAAGAATTATATAAAAAACAGATAATAAAGAGACTTAACCTTCTCATTTTCGTTGGATTTAACTTCTTTGACCTTTACTGTGTCAGAGCCGCAAGTCTGCGCGTGTTCAGCGGCTGTTGTCCCACTCGCCCATCTCACTGTTGTCCTACTGCAGGTGACTCGTCGAATAAATTTTACACTCAAAAACAATTTTGATAATCTCATTATAAAAACCCAATATTATTAACAAAGCACGAAATTAAGGATCAAAAAAATAATTCCATTGCCATCTAGATTTTACTCTATATTTTGTATATTATTTATAAATAGAACACATTTTTATTTTTTATGTTGCTTTATATAAACAATTATAGCAGCTGTTGTATATAACATAGCAAAGTTGGTGACACAAGGGTAAATTGAATGGTATTAAAATGTTTACATAAAACTCTAATCTCACCCAATGGGGGATCCAGGGGGGGTGTGATGGGGGTCATGACCTCCCCTAAGTTGGTTGGTCAAGAGCTTGACAAAATATATTTACATACTTTATCAAGCTCTGTGACCCACCACTGGGACCCCCCTAGCACAAAAGCTGGATCCGCCCTTGATCTCACCACTCTGAATTTTTAAAAGAATAACATCTTAAAATGGTTTCTTTCATATTTAACTATCATGGCTTAAACTAGATGATGCTAGGGTTTAACAAAATTCTAACATATTGAAATACATAAGTAATATCATCTTTTATTACCAATATTAATTTTAAATGAACTTGTTTTGGGCACATGCCTTATTGTTAATGATATTCTAGTGTCCCGGCTCACTGTATCACCTTTAACATATTTATCTGAACACATGTGTAAGTTCTTTATTGATTCATCAATAACATCGTCTTTTATTTCCTCAATACTATGCAAATAGTGATGGAAGAGTTCATCCTGCAATACCAACAGACTTCTCGGCTCTAGCAGAAATGAAAAAACTGATTTCATATCTGAAGCATTCTCATTAGCATCTGGCAGAGGCTCCCAAAATTTTAAAACAATATGTGATCCTACAGAAATTGTTGTTATAGTCGGATAGAATAATGAACCATCCAAATGTGGCAGAATTCCTTGCCCTGGTGTGTATTCATTTACTAAAACATGATTTGGTTTATTTCCACCCATCAAATTCAATTCATCTATCCTGTTTAAGTAATTCTGCAGCCAGACAGGAATGGTTTCAGCTATCATCCCCTTGTTGTGAGGAATGCCGCCCCAGTTTTGAAGTCTTCTGTTCGAAAGTTGAGTCCATTTTGGCTTCGGCGCCGAATAAATACTGGATAAAATAGATTGCTCTTCCCTATCTGATAAAAACTCTGATATGTAGAAAGCAGTCGGATCAACCTAAAAAATTAAATAGGTTATCATCTAAATAAATACATCGTATACAAAATTAATTTCCGATTTTCATTACATATTACTTTATAACAAGGGAGTGCAAAACCCACATTGGTCAATTTGAAATCCTGAAGGGACTTAAAGTTGCTATTATTTTCCATTACATGAATAACTTCTTTCTTGTTATCGGTAGTAATTAATTATTTATAATACTAAATCTCAAAAAATAACGATAAAACAGAATTCTATATCTACATTGACATGTTTATATTTTTTTCATGACAGATGATAACGTCAGCCTGACAAGTTATGGAGCAGCTGTTTTAGAGCGTTATTTTTAAGCATTGTTTTTATAAATATTCACTTAATTGCTTTCTAATCTGAAATGTCGCTAACATAATGCAAGATTGAAATAGGCACATAGGTGGTTCTTAATTATTTACTTCTTAATGTTACGAAGTTCTATAAGTAGTTATACAGTTCGATTATTAAAACTAAAGTTAAAATCGAACTAAATTGCGAAGAAAATATTCTATTAAAATAGTAGGATATCCACGAATAACAAAAAAAAAATGATTTTGACGATTTTTTGGTACACCTTATTTCGGTTTCGGACCACTTCGTAACTTCGGCGTTTCGTTTTGTCAATGTCGCGTGTAGTACTTTTTTTTCTCGTTAGATGATTAGTAAAACCAATTGATACAATAAAAATAAATTAAATCCTGGATAAATCTGTTGCCGATGTTAGTGCTGATGCTTAAATATACAATTCCTTTTGGTGTTTAAAACGGACGTGTATACATTTTTTGATACATAGTTACTATACTTCTGAATATACATACGGTCACAGTGCAAATACAGAATGTGTACAGCTATCTTTTGACAGGAATGAACAGGCAGTGAAAATGTTATTTGTTAATATTTTTTTTGTCCCAAATCAATAATTTGGAGATCGTAGAATGTGATTATAATGGGTGGTTGCATTGGAATATCTAGAAGCAGAAGCGGTCCAATGGAAGGATCGTCAGGAACTGTGTCGCGGCCTAATTCCGGTATGTGAACGCCTGATTGTAGCCTTGGAGACAACTTCATGGTCTGATTTAGTTTTTGTTGTAGGTGCTCTTAGGAAAAATCAGTCCCTGTGTCATGAAACGATTCGGTGGAAGTCTGATGTGCCATTAACAGAGGGTCAGTTGCGGAGTAAACGTGATGAGTTCTGGGACACTGCGCCGGCGTTCGAGGGCAGGAAGGAGATCTGGGACGCGTTGCGGGCGGCCGCCGTGGCCGCGGAGGCGATGGACTTCCAGCTGGCGCAGGCGATATTGGACGGAGCTAGTGTTTCCGTACCCAATGGCTACCTCACAGAGTGCTATGATGAATGGGGGACTAGATATCAGGTACTGTCCGTTTCTCAATAAATTATGTATATCATCGCATGAGATTTTGACATTTTTTGTAAAATTGTTCTATATTTCTTGTTATATATGTATTTATACAATTATTCTATACAAAACTAACATTCTAAAGGCTATTTCATACAACATAATGATTTTTGTTATAATCAAAGTCTTATTGGCAGTTTGGACTTAATTTATACCAGATGTGTATGTGTTTTTATATGTTAGTATGTTGTGTTCCACCATAGTAGTACTGCAACTTATCAAAAACATCCTGTTAAATGCAAATGAAATAGATAGTATGACACAGATTGACTACTGACTTCTTAAAATGTTCCAATTAAAACAATTTATCCTGTGAGTCATACAATTTGTGACCAAACTCATTACGCCAAATAAATTCAAGTATTTCTTTATTATCGAAAGTTTTTAAAGGCTTCAGCTTGATAAACACTAGCCAATAGTGCAACCTGTGCCTGGTGCGGAAAAGTTTGGATGGATGTTAAAGTTTGTAGTCTAAATGGCTGAATTTTATTTAAAATCGGCATAACATCTAGAGGATAGTCTGGAAGAACACTTATGCTGTTTTTTGTTGCTGCAGGCTAAATCTGTTTTATTTTTAGTTGAGAGTTTTTGAATGTTGTCTATTTATAGTCATAATTTGTAATATAAATCAGAGGTTACAAATTTATATTTGGTTATTCAAGTCGGATGAAAGCTATTCAATGGTTGTACACTTCTGATAATATGTACAATAACAAATTTATATAAGGAAACAGTTTATCTATTCATGTTTGATATGATAAATACCCACAGATTACACTTTACATTGGCATTTAATTAATTTAAGTATGTATGTCAAGGAATTATATAAAAACAGTAAAGTATGTTGAAAATCCTTTACCATAGATTGCTGTTGCAAAGACATCTTACTAATATTATAAATGGAAACACTTATATGTATTAATTTTTATGAGTTTGTTGCCTAAAATAACCGGAAGGCCTAATTTAAGTCCCTTTCTCTTTACCACCCTTTTCTTATAAAGAGAGGATGGGAAGGGAAGTGGATTTGATGGAGGAGAAGCATAGGAAGGGGAAATATCCTCTCTATGTGGGACTCCTCCTCTGTAGGATAAGAGTAGGCAATGCATCTGCAATTGCAGATGTCTGTGGACAGTGGTCACTTCGCCATTTTGGCGGATTTAGGTGGCCGCTTGCTCGTTTGCCACCTTATTTTATAAAAAAAATAGCTAATGGTGTTTGACAAAAATAAATGTGGACAATAGTCTGGAAGAACACATCACCTTTTGATCCTGGAAATAATTATGCTTCCAATGGGATACATTCATTTTGTTTTTACATGTTTACTTGAGAATTACGCAACGGTTTAACATATCTTATTAGAATTTGGCACAGATGTAAAATAAATGTCAGGTTCTTGAGGGATAAATCATTTTTTTGTATGTTTTTTTAATATTGTAAGAATAAAGTTAACAGATATTAGAAATTATTATCATTTATTGACAACAATGTAATTTATCTCGGTAGGTGCCAATTTACTGCCTGTCTCCACCCATCAACATGGTGAAGGAGGCGTGCGGGCGCGACTCTCCGGCGGAGTGGTCGGAGCCGGCGGACGGGGGCGCGGCGCTGGCGCTGCGACTGCGCCTCTCCACCACCTGCCGCGAACTGGAGCTGCGGGTGGGGGCGCGCCACACCATCGCACACTGCAAGACTGAGCTGCAAGTATGTTCACACTTCACATATCTCTTGAGACAAACTGATGGTCGGGTTTAGACCGTTTTAGTATGTTAGGGACTTATAGAAGAACCGGACCCTATCCTAGATCCTAGATTATCTTATTTCTTAATCTATACTATGGAGAAAAGATTTGTATTTTTGGATTTTCGGCTCAAAAACTATTGGGCCGATTTTGATATTATAATTGCAAAAGTTAAGATGGATGTTTGTAACTAAGTATTTCCAAAACAGTTATACAGATCTTGATGAAATTCTGCACATTTAACATAGTCTGAAAGAACACAGGCTACTTACTTTTTAAAAGTGTGAATAAAGTCGTGGACGAACGCTAGTAAAGTAAAAATATATAGCGTACTTACTAGCTGACGCCTGTGATTCCGCCTGCGTGGAATTAGAAAAAAACAAAAGTAAGTAGCCTACGGGTTCTTCCAGGCTCTCCTCTACATTTGCCACATTTCATCGAGATACATGCAGCAGTTTAGGCTACAAACTCTAACAAACATCCATCGATCCAAACTTTCGCATTTATAATATTAGTATGATTAGTGAGATACAAAGACTAGTAAGATTTGGTTTTATACCCTTCATACTATGAAGTTATGTTTACAAACGTTGGTACTGCCAACAATTGAAACTTCTTTATAAGAAGTTATATTAATGCTTGTTTAATGTGACTATGGGCGACACAACTTGTGAGTCATATCGAGAAATGTACGACAATGCCTTCGCGCCGACCTGTTTCTCATAAATTGACTTCGCCGCGACTTGACTGTTAATTCACGCGTCACTTTCCTGTCTCTGACCGTTCTCATAAACAAATATGAAGGTTGACATCGACTCTATTGAATCCATTCTATTGTAAAGTAAAAATTAAAGACAGTGTCAAAATCTAGATTTACTTTAAACACACTCAGTTCTGACAGTTATAATCGAAGTCTTAAACTGTTCAGTTAAAATGTATGTGGGCAATGTTTTAACTATCAGTTCAAACAGACATTAGGGGGCTAGATATGTCCAGTTTTTTTTAAACGAATCGTACCAAATTATTGAATGTACTACAATTTAATATGCTTAGTCAAAAACTAAAAATACGCTGAAGCGGATTTGCTTTTATGCCTGTCATGTATTTAAATTGATTTTTATACAGATATACTTTTTTTATTTTTAAGTTGTGATCTGTTTGATATAGACACTAGAATTGTATATTTTGGCATAATTTAAAAGTAACAAAGTTGATGGTTTTAAAAAGGAAATCTTCTTCTTCTAATCTTGCACTAGAGGATTAGCACAACACTAGATTGTTGACATATGCGTCCCGTCCCTATTTGACAGCTGTCAATGTCATTGAGACGTATATAGCGAGCCATTCTGGCGGTAGGCTGTACTAATTGTTGAAATTAAAATTTGTTTAAATAGGCGCTGGAGGGCATAGAGCCGTGGCGGCAGCGCTGGTTCTACGGCGGCAAGCTGCTGGGCGACCGCCTGCTGGTGGAGGAGGTGCGCATCACGCCCGGCTACGTGGTGCAGGTCATCGTCAGCACCGAGCCGCGCCCCCCCAGCTAGGCACCCCCCCCCCCCCCACACACACATACCACTACACGTCGTTTCATGTCTATGAGAAATTATACTAACACATTGTATTAGCTAAATTATATTGTCTACTAGCTGTTGCTCACGACTTCGCTCGCATCAAGTTAAAAAATAAAGAAATATACAGCCTATGTTACTCACTGATAACATAGCTTTTTGAAATCGGCCCAGTAGGTTTTGATTTATTTCAATCCATACAAAAATCTAAAAATGCAAATCTATAGATTTTTGTATGTTTTATAACATTAGTATAGATGGATTTATTTTAAATTCTTTCAATTTAAATTGATGTTTAAGTGTGTTTGTGTGTGTTTGTTATAATTTCTCATTACCATTGGAATTTAACATTTTGAGTTGTCCGGTACTCGATCGGTCACTGTATTGGAATAATGTAAACTGGAAACGGTGCAATCTCCAATGACACCTGTTATATATTAATCCTGCTCATTCTCTGAAAGTAAACAGAGATATGATGTTATATTCAAGTGTCACATTTCAAATGAATACACATCGGTTTTAATTAAAATCGATACTATCCTCGCGCCCGATTGTAGACGACAATATCGATTTTATGCTTTATATTTTATTCGATAAAATTTGGTTGTTTCAGTTCCTTTTTTTAATTTTATTTAATTTGAGCTCGATTTTTGGTAACTATTTATTTTGAATGTAGTTTTGTTTTATTCATTTTTAGTTTGTTTAATTACAGTTTTTATCAAAACGTTTCGACATATCATATGCTTGTAAATTCGCAGAAGTTGCATTGAACTTTTTTTTTTATTCATAAAATCGATAAGTTCAATCGTAATCGCTCGCTGTGAAATCGATGTTTTCCTATAATAGCAAACTACTTAAGCTTTGAAACTACTTCAAATATCTATTAAGCTCTATGTTAATGTTTACAATGATTTTTATATATAAAAAAGTATTATTAAATTATAATATGGAATTACAAAATGATAATTTTTATGGAGAAAAAAACGTGAGAAAAATACATATAAATGAAGAAGATTTTACCTTTTTATTGAGATTATTTTTTATTTCGCTTATAAATTTAATTATTGCATTTATTATATTATACTTCGAACTGGATTAAATTTACTGCCATATTTATTTATTTAAAAAGAGATTTTACGTATGGAATGTTTTAAGACGAATGAATGTAAGACGGTTATGTTATTTACTGCGTTATTATTATAATTATTCACATATCTATTTTCACATACTCCGTACACATCTCATCTCACCAGCTCACTATACGTCCCCACCGAGGGGCTCGGAGCCTACCCTAATCAGGGGTGACTAGGACATAGTCAACCACGCTGGCCAACTGCGGGTTGGTTGACTTCACACATATCTTTGAATTTCTTCGCCGATATATGCAGGCATCACGATGTTTTCCTTCACCGTAAGAACGTCGGCTAAATTATGTACATTCGAAAAATCGAAAATCACATTGGTACAGGATTCGAACCCAAGACCTGTAGATTACAAGTCAAGTGTTCAAACCACTGAGCCACCGACGCTCTTAAATACATGTAAATAAATTGAAAATACAAAACTATAATTAATAGATGTTTGCATTTTTTTTGTATGTTCCGATTTTTTAACAAATCAAAGTTTAATTTGAATTTTCATATAAATATATCAAATATCTAAAAACTAATTTACTATTAATATTAAAATAATTATAGTTTTGGAAAGATGTGAATTATCCTAATATTAGTGATGTTTTTTGTGTCATACTTTTTTATTACGTATAATTAAAAATATTAATTTGCTCTACTTACATTTTTACCATAATATAGAAGCAAATATGCATTTCAGAGTAATGTTTATAATTTAAAATATCTCCTTGTATACGGTAACCTTAAACCTAATCACATTTTGCTCAATATTTTTTTTACATAAATATTATAGACACAAATTATTTGTTCAATGTTTATTATCAATAATCTAACCGAGAATATAAAAATCCTGACTTTGGGCACATTACTGGTTAACTAAAATGCAATAAGGCAACCAAAATGCGTTAATATGTTCTCATAATAAACATATTTTCAATAAATTCTAATAATTCATTAAAACTTTATTCACTTCTTGCTCTTCGACTTCCCGCTATTCTTCTTTCCTTTGTTCTTCAATTGACTTCCAAAAAGAAGGAGGTTCTTAATTCGTCTGTGTCTTTTTATTTTTATTACTGGATATCTCAGTTCCTTGTTACTATTCTTTTTTGACGCCGGCTGTCGATTACTCCAATGAAAAAACTATCCAGTAGTTTTTGAGTGAATAAGAGTAACCTTTGACTATATTGCGATTGTCGATTGTTTCGCAGCAAATTAAACTGTTTAGTTGCACAAATAAACATCTCCATATCAGCACATACGAATCAAAGCGACACAACAGTTGTACGATATTTTAGTAAAAGGTGAGCAAACACTATAAAGCAAAGTCTGTCAAAATTATTAAACAAAATAAAGCTTCTTAGTGGCCAGTATGTCTTTGGCAGAACGTACTTAGTCCACCAAAAAGTTCGGATACCTTCACTTTACGGTTAATTCACTTATTTAATATAAGCAAAGTTATCAGTTCCATCATTTTATACAATATGGTGAGGGTTTTTATATTCCTGGTCAAATACATTGTATATTCAAGTACATAATCTGTAGAAGCAATAAACTCAAAACGTACCGCCTAAAATTTATCTCAACAACAAGAAAATAAAATATTATTTCATTCTCTACATTTTTCATTATTAATTGTAAAAATGCAGTGATATTTACGTATATAAATAATTGTATATTTCGTATTTTTTTGCTTGTTTATTTCAAAATTAATTAATATCCTTATTTAATAAAATTATAAGTTAATTCCTAATTTTATTTGACGTTTTGTTTTTGCTTGGAATATATTTATATGGCAACTTGATATCGTGTACTACGAATATAAAATGCATGTTGTAAATAATGTTTATCTCATAAAATTGAATACACTATGTAGATTGTTTTTTAAATGCAAAGAAATTCATGTAAAATATTATTTCTCTGTTCTATTCAGTGGCCTAATAATTTCTGTTCAATGTATTGAATGAAAATTGATCAATTTTTCATTACTGAGTATTTCGCCTAACTATTGTAATTAATAACTAAATTATCAGATTCTTACAATAATCAATATATTGTACAAGATTCTCTGATTGTTTAGCGTTTACACTGCCTTAATATTTGTATCTCAACATGTTTTTATACAAATGTTTGGGCAGGAAAACTCAATGGTCTAATAATATAAAATAATGTAAAATATAAATAAAAATACTAACATATAGGTTAAAGATATGTTTATATTTATACGCTAATATAAAATTTGGATGAGGCTTAGTTTTGTAACAGTTTTTTTGCTGCCTCCGGTTACCATAGATTATAAAGAGATTAAGTTTTCAAGTGGTTATAGGAAAATTGGACAATTAACTTGTTTATTTTTGTCATTTTTTCTATAACTACTTTAAACCTATAAATAAATTAATGTCGGCGTTTCAATGCTCGATATTTAATATTTAGAAACTTCGCAGACAATAATTTGAAAACAATCTGTTAAACTAATTCCTGTGTCTTTAATTAGCTGGTAAAAGAATTTACACAACACAATATTGTTCCGTTCTGTTTGTGGCATGCCATATTGTATCTATCATTAGAATTAAAACGTCTCAATTCTCGTAAGATAAGAAAAATAAAACTATTCGTAGATTTTATTTAAAAAAAAATATTTTTTTCAAGTGTGAAAATTCGTGCAGTCATATCTTGAAATGTTTTAAATTGTAATTCAGCATTTTCGTTTAGGAATTATTGTGTGGTGCTAATTTAATCTTGATCGAGCCCCTATCCAAAGTAAGAAATAAATTTGCTCAGTAAATATAACTACTTAATTAAAATTAATATCCGCTCAGATATTGTACAATGATAACGCAATCGATATTATAAGTAAAGTATACTATTGCAACACTAACGCGGTATAAAGTTAAACTTAGGAATAAACTGAGTATAAGCAAATATTAATACATTTCTTTCTTATCAGTTATTTAAGTAATCTAATGACTACGGACGGGGCTCGTTGATTTGCTGATCCCTTTGACTGATACGGGTAAATTCCAAAATCACTTATCAAATTAATTCTTTTGCTCACTTGAATACGCTTGTTTTAATTATAACGTATATTTACATTTAGTAGTTAACAGTTTGCTAATTCAGTGTCTATTTCCTAAAATAAATTTTAATTTTAAAAGGTTAGTTCGCAAAGGAGTATTTTATTTTTTAGACCTTCGTAACACTTTACGCATGATAACATTATTTCCTGAATTTTAAATTTCTTTTGTTCTCAATTGTCACAATTTTTGGTATTTTTTCTTAATATAGTAAACGCTTACAAGAGTTAACTTCCATCAATATACTAAGTTTTTACCTGTCTCCTATCACCGTGTGTTTACAGCCTTCAAGAACTGTATCGTAATCCATTAAAAAATCTATAGCAATGCAAATTTTGTATTCTGTTGTATAAGATTGTGTTTGTTCACCGAAATCCGTTACTGTAAAATACGTTTAAATAAAATCGGTTAAGATGAATAAAATCCTTTCATTTATGTACCTATTATCTTATATCTACAGTAATCCCTGTTCATAAGTGGACTTAAAATATAGATTAAAAATTACAGGACAATTTCCTCGTTCAGTGTCTTTTCAAAACGTCTGGCTAATTAACTGAAATCCTAAAATGTTAATGTAACAAGACAATTTGGTTTTCAAAAGTGTAGGAGCACCGAAGACGCGGTCCTTTCTTACACTTTTTCTTCAAAAATTGATAAGAATAATGATTTGTGGTCTAAGACGAGCAAGTGTAGTTAAACATTTAGGAGTCCTAAGTATAAAAATTTACTTTCACAGACAATATTAAGTCACTTTCATTCCGGGTGCGAAAAATTGTCGGTAAAGAGAAAACTACTTGACATCACGTTATTTTTCTAGGAACTGACGGCAGCAAACTTCGTTTGCGCAAATTTGGACCACCCGTTACGCCGTTTTGAAAACGTGGAATTTAAAAAAAAGTGGGCTATAATATGCCCAACTATGAAAATCACTCTTCAGTGAAAATCCGGTCGCAATCTGCCCAGTTGTTTCGGAGATTACCCAGAACAAACGCGGCTTACAGACAGACAGACAAAAAAAAAATGCTATTTTAGTTATCAGCAACGCAAATACATCATCTTGCCAAAATCTAGATTTTTTTTTGATTTTACAGACACTCCAATTGTTTTATATGTGTTGTAGATTACATTTTATTTATTGCTAAATTAAAGATTTGAGTTATCTAAACGTGCCGTGAGTATGGGAATTTGTTTTTGATTATTCCATTATTGTTTAATATTTTTTTTATAATTAATTTATATAGCTTTTTTCCGTAGCTTCGTTTTTCTTTTTTTTTTCATTTTTTTACAGTTTTCCATTTCGTGTATGATCGTAACCTAAACAGTACGAATAAGGGGAAAAAGAAAAATCATATTTAACAAAAATCATTTATTTAAATACGCTATAAACAGTACAGGTCACAAGACGAATTTCCAACACTTAGCTTAACAAATTATATTTAACTTAGCTTGTTCTTAAATTATAGGAATACTGTCTTAACTGTACTAAAGCTTGTGTCATCATTGTGCAACCGAAAAGGAATTATATAACCGTTTTTTCAAAAAGAGTGATGACAGTTATTGTAACGGCTACAATTTAAACTATAAAACAGTTAACGTATAAATGCGTATCATTTTGTACAGTCGCGGATGTCTGCGGTGTTAGAATTACAGAAAAAAATACCCAGATTTTTTACGAGACAAACTAACAACTGTAACTATGCAGTAAGGCAAATGGCAGAATAATAATAAAACTCAGTGGTGAATTGACTGGCTGTTGTTTACAGATACTTATAAAATGTTCGTTCTATTATGTTATTCCGTGTTATTTCAATGTGTATGAAAAATTCAAACGACAAACACTGTATGGGCGATGTATTTTAATGATTTTGCATATCACTAGTGCGCGGGTCAAATAAAAATACGCATTTAGTATAAATAACATAGTAGTTTTCGATTTAGGATTTTTTTGAAAAAAAAATAGCACAAAATGCTGCTCCATTTAAAAACCCTTTACACACGTAATTCGAAGTATTATCCCCGTCTACTTCGGTATGTATTTGAGCAGCTTGACCTCGTGTGTGAGCCAGACGGCGAGGGAGAGCAGCGCCAGCGAGCCGGCCTGGTGCGCGGCGGCGAGCGGCGTCGGCACGTACGTCAGCAGCGTCGTTATACCTAGACCTACCTGTAAATACCACATCCTACTTATTTAACAACGTAAGGAAAAATTTCAATCGAGTTTAAGACATTTCATGAAAATCTCCGAAGTTATTGAAGTAAAATGTTTTTATTTGCTTGCAATTTTTTTAATCTGAACAGATAAAGTTTTGATATTGTTAAATCGATGTTTAATGGTTTTTAAAAATCTTGAAAAATAAATGAACGTATAAAATTGTGAGTTCCTTTAAAAAAATCGGAGTGATTTTTGATTTATTTTGAAAAAATAAAACCTATAAAACAAGATGACTTAAATATTTTTCACTTTTGTATTATGGATATGGGGAATAAAATTATCACAAATTATCCCCTCTTTTTACCTCGTGACGGAACACATGAATTACCAATAATCCTGTATACAAGACCAATTATCCTTTTTCTTCGACAAAAACAATTGATTATGGACCTTAGAAAAAGTAATATGAAATGAAGACAAGGAAACGTAAAGAAGTGACCTGCATCCAGGCGACGGCGCCGACCGCGGCGGCGAGCGCGGTGGCGGCGCGGGGCAGCGGGCGGCGGCGCGCCAGCGGCCACAGCGCGCTGGCGGCCAGCAGCGTGGCGCCGGCCAGCACGCGGTGCTGCCACTGCACCGTGCTGGGGTTCTCGGTGAGGTTGCGCGGCGCGGGCCGCAGCCTCAGGATGTCCTCGGGGATCCAGCGCTCTCCCATCTTGGGGAACGAGTTGTACACCAGCCCCGCGTCCAGCCCCGCCACGAACGCGCCTAACATTACAAAGTTACACTTATTTTCAAACTGCAATAATGATATACCACATGTAAAAGAAAAAAATGTAATTTTTTGAAAACTTATTAACGAAAAAAAAATTCTTATGTAACTGGAACTATAATATTTTTTGCTACAAAAAAATCGTCGAATTAAGGGTTAAACCATAAATTATTTTTTAATCAATACTAATTTTTTGTTGTTATTTATAGTCTTAAAAAAAGGCTTTTTTTCAATTTTCAACATTTCTAAGAGGCACTTACCAGACATCGCGGTAAGGAAGACCATTGCTTTAACAGTGTGCGCCAGCGTCGTTACACCCTTTAACTCCTTCATGTTGCGCAAGGTGGCGGCGGCGGGGAAGGGGCGCAGCACCCGCAGGGCTCCGGCCAGCAGCCCCGAGTACAGCACGAAGGCGAGGCCGAGGTGCGCCGCCAGCCGGTACTGCGACACGCGCGGCACGTCCGAGGGGCCCTGGAACCTGTCCTCCAGTCCCGACTTCACCATGTACCAGCCCATCAGACCCTGGAAACGATACCACTACACTTTGCTTTCCATCCAGTAGTCTTCTGAGACAAAACATTTCCTAAAATATCACAGGTTTTGATATTTTTATTATTTTATTTAGACAGAAACAGTGGTAGACAACACAATACCACCACCACACAGAAAACAGCCGTGAAGAGGGAGTAATTCCGCGTTTTGCCTATTTACACTACCTACCCTTTGACTCGCCCGGTGAAATACCACGATCACACAGAAGACAGGTGTGAAGTGGAAGCAATTCCGCGTACTGTCTGATGAGTGTGGTACCGGAGGCCCGAATTTAGTCCCTTTTTTCTTATGATAATAGAATGGCAAAGAATCTCAGCTTTGACGGCGGAGGAGACGCATAGGAAGGGGAAACATCCTCATATGCGCGTCTTCTCCTTCGCTTAGGGTAGTCTCCGAGCAGAGGTCGCTTCGCCAGTTTGGCAAATTCAGGCGACTTATGATATAAAAGTGAGAAGTGCAGGAGAGACCTGCGCGGCGACGAGCGCGCAGTAGACGGCGACGCGCCGCTTCATGGCGAGGTCGAGCGCGCCGCTGCGCCAGAAGTAGGCGGCCGGCAGCAGCACCGCCGCGCCGATGCAGCGCCCCCAGCTGCGGTGCAGGAACTCCATCCACCAGATCCACTTGAACTCCGACAGCGTCATGCTCTGGTTCTTGCTGCGGACAAAGGTCATGTGGACCTGCTCTAATTACCTCACTAAGGCAATCTTTTAATATGAGACCCACATCAAGTACCTCATAATAAGTATGCATACAAATATACACAGTAAAAAATATTGTTATTGTTGTATATGTCAAATGATTTTATGTAGATCAAATCAAAAACTGTGCCAACTGTTGGACTATAAGCTAGGCGTGGATTGTATGGCCTCACAGGCACCAGTTAGTATTCAGACTATGCCTGTTGAGACCAGTCCAGTTGTTGACTGCTACTGACCAACTGTATTTGCCAAATGTGAACTAGGCTTTATTCTAAATGGATACACATAAAGGATGGATAGTTAGAAATTATTTAGGAGTATAACAAATTTTTGAACACAGACAACTAATTAGGCTTTTTTTTAATTACGCACGTAAAAGGTCGCGGGCGACATCAAGTTTGTTATAACATACTATTTATATTCAGGGAACTGTTTGTATTTTTCAAACTCCTGCTCCCACTGCTCCTGTGTGGTGGGCAATGACTCCCCCAGCAGCCGCCACGTCACCATAGACAGACCAGACTCTGTCAGACGAGTCACACCACCTGACAACACAATTAACACATTCAATGCTAGACACCTGCATGTTAACATTAAGTGGCATTGTAAGTGTTTGATAACTTTTAAGTGATAAGTAAAAATTGTATTTTCATTCATTAATAATTGTTTGAAGTATTTCAATCATAATGAAATTCTTTTATAACAAAGGGTTTCAAAATATTATTCCGATATCATTTGATTCAAGTAGAAAAGGTAATTTAATTAAGACAAAAGCTGTGAGGTACAATATCTTTATTCATGTAGTTCTTTCAACTAAATAATTAACTTAATGTCTAATTTGGCTTTTAGATCACATTCAAAAATTTACAGATATTAAAACTTTAGTGTGAATGCTTGTATAAAACAATAACTTGTTCATTATATTTGTATAAAGACAATATTATAAACATTAATGCAAATGTTACTGCACTTTTACTTGATAAAGAAACAAGCGGTCAAGTTTTCTAATATAGTATTGCCTCTTTTTAGTCAATAGAGGAGGAGACACATAGAAAGATGTTCCACCTTCTTGCATACTCTCCTCTGTCAAATACACTTGTAACCTATCATTATTAAAAAAGGATAGGAAAAGTGAATTAAAATCAAGCCTCCAGTATGCAAAATATCACAGTAACATATTTACTTCTTTCCATTAGTTGTTTTCACAATAACATTGATAACATAACAAATGCTGTACAGCAGTATGATGTAGCTAGCTACCATACCTAACACAACCGCAGCAAACACCATTCCGCTGCAGCCCAGCAGCCAGTACCCCACTGCCTTCGATGGCTTCTGCTGCGGCCCACTCGCACAGAATCGGGCAACAATGCCATTTGATTTGATCACTTCACTTATCTAGAAAATTATGTTAAAGCTTTTCATTTCACAATGACATATTGCCTTTTAAGTGTCATTTGAAACATGATTTTTCCTGTTTTTGTTTTCACATCCAACTGATCAGTGTTTAAAAGATAAGCCAAAAAGAAATCTTTTTATATCCAATCTCTCTGGCATGCCTCTACATGTTTCGTTTTTTTTTATTTATATATTTGTTCTTGTAAAGTACTATACCTGTTCAGTTGTTGCTTACCCTAAAAGTCTTTGTATTCCTTAAGCCTACATTAAAGCGAGCTGAAGTGGTCAGCTCTCTGCTAATCGATCGTATTCCTACGTTATTTAATATTTTGCTCGGTGCAAATCGCAGCGGCTGAGAACATCGACATATTTGCGCCAAACTCCACATTATGAAATGCTGCTGTAATATTGAAGGAAATGTTTATTTTAAATATTGAAGTATATCTGTTACGTAAAAATAATTCAATTATCGATACTTACTTCGAAGAGATTGACCGCTAAAACATTTAATTTAAAGTACGAAGATAACAATATAACCTACTTAATATATTGTGAAATTATTTAACTCGGTGGACAAAAAATAAATAAGATTAATTTTCTTGAGGCTAATGACTATTTATTAGTCAACGTGTATTTGTCTGAATGCCGGTTGCATTCATATATACCTTTTCACGTTATTCAAATTGAATTGAAATTGTTTTGAGAAATCTCTGTTTCCTTACTTTGAGCTGGATTTGATTGACGTTTATTTGACAGACATCTGATTGCACTAAAATTGACATTGACATACAAAAATCGTCATCTAATGTTGCTAGCAAAAACCAATCATTAATGGTTTTAGAAAACTTCCCTAAAATGTGCGGTATATAAAAAAAACCAAGTTATTAGGTTTTTAGTTATCTAGTTTTTTATTTAAACACAGTTTTTTTTTAAGATTTAATTACAAACAACTATGTGACTTATGTTTCCATTTCCTTATAATCATTAGACAATGCTCTTATATTTTTATATGCGCTGGTGAATTCCCCTTCTTCCATACCCTCTCCAACATAGTGATGAACAAACGCTCGTTTAGCGTACATGAGGTGGTACTTTCTGCACAACCGCTCCCACGCAACGCGTATTACCGAGGAGTTTGATACCATCACAACAGCTCTTTGCAAGGCGCCCAAATCTCCTCCAGGTACCGTCAGTGGAGGTTGATAGTTTACACCGATCTGAAAGTTTCAAATAATAACTAACTCATAGGATAAAATACCGTAAATAATTGTTTGTTTGAGAGCCTCTTTGTATTAAATACGTGGAGAAGATAATCTTGCCTAAAATGCTAATACGTGGATTGTATGTTGAAAATACGTTTGTAAAAAATAAACATCAGTATTATGAGTATATTTATACCTTGAACCCTGTAGGTGACCATGAAACAAACTTTATAGTTCTAGCACTTTTTATTTGATTTATGGCCGAGTTTATGTCATTTTGATTAATATCGCCCCTGAAGAGCAGACAACAAGACATATATTTTCCTTGACTTGGATCGCATTTAACCATTTGATTAGCTGATTCAAAGCATGACATTATGAGCTGACTCGTTGAATTTGAATCATGCATAGCTCGGGACGCAGGCATGAATGGTGCAAATGTAATTAGAGGAAAGTGTATTCGTGGGTAAGGTATTAAATTGGTTCGAAATTCTACCAACTCCACATTCAAAGATCCTTCGAATCTCATAGAAGCTGTCATGCAGGATACCACCTAAAATGAGTCTCGTTATTAAGATTACAATAATATGATATCGTATTAACTAGATTTCATTACCCACTCACCTGAGCAATAAGTCTGTTTAGGTTTGTATAAGTAGGCCTTGGCACTTCTAAAGACCTTGCTAAAATGTCATATAAAGCCTCATTGTCAAAAATGAAACAAACGTCTTCTGTGTCCATGCACGCATGCGATGTGAGAACAGCGTTGTACGGCTCAACTATGATTGGTGATATCCTTGGAGCCGGATAAACGGCATATTCTACTTTTGTTAATTTCCCGTAATCTCTTACTAATCCCTCTAATAACAGGGCTGTGAATCCTGACCCAGTGCCACCACCAAATGATCGAACAATAATAAATCCTTGAAGTGAATTACAATCTTCAGCTGCAAGTCTAATGCGATTTAAAGCTAAATCGATCATTTCTCTGCCGATACTAAAATATCCACGTGCAAAATTACTCGCAGCATCTTCTTTGGCAGTAAGTAGGGTCATCGGATTAAATAACTGCCTGTAAGTTCCAGTTCTAATTTCGTCTACAAAAAATACCTGATTAGTCTTTAGAACATTGACTAAAAATTATATAGTAACTTACCAATGGGAGTTGGTTCCAAGTCGATCATAACAACTCTTGGAATAAGTTTGCCAGCCCCAATTTCGTTAAAAAATGAACCATAGCTCGCTTGGTCATCTGCATAAGCCAAAAACCCATCAGGACTTATACCGTGCTCCAGGCAATATAGTTCCCAACAAGCATTTGCTATTTGAACACCGGCTTGGCCAATATGTATGTGAATAACTTCTTTCTGTAAAAAATAAATTATATTGGGAGAGTGTTTTATACATTAAAACAATAAAATGATTACAATTTGATTGGTACTTTAGGCATTTTATAATATTGGTTTTTATACTAAAATTTTGAATATGTTTTCGAAAATATTTTTTATGGATGTTTACATTGTGTAATTTTGATTAAGTTGACGGTTGCACGTTGCACTGTAGACAGATGCATGACATTTTTGTATCTTCCGAGATGATCTATGTGGCATGTGGCACACCAAGGAATTTGTAAAAACGTTTTTTCGCTTTAACAGGCCATTCACATTCACAGAACGTTCACATGGATATACCTTAAAAAGGATCAGCTTTAATATAAGTAAACGAAAAATTAAAAATCACCTATTATTTTCTTATTGTTGTTTTGTTTTCTTTACATTTTATGTGGAAAAATGTGTGTATTGTCATTTTAATGTTGTGGAGCCGTTAAAAATATAAACTTTCATCAGTCAATGTCACCAAGTGCCGTTGTCAAGTGTCAACCAAAATGTCAAATGTCAAGAACAAGAACAAACAATCCGATAACTTGATCTAAAAATAGTTTTGATAAGACATTTTGGAATATTTTGTGGAGATTTTGCTTTGGAAAAAACTAAAATGAATTTCGCTGGAAAAGTTGTAATCGTTACTGGCGCTAGTTCTGGTATTGGCGCTGCAACGGCGGTATTTTTGTCAAGACTAGGCGCGAAGCTCTCTCTGACCGGTAGAAATGTCGACAACCTCAAGAAAGTGAACGGTGATTGCGAAAAATCTACACCCACGTTTGTGGTTCCTGCAGATTTGAATAAGGAAAGCGATATTGAGAAAATTGTTAAAAGTACTGTCGATCATTACGGACAAATTGACGTATTGATTAACAACGCCGGTATAATAGAAACCGGTACCATAGAGACTACAAGTCTCGCGCAGTATGATCGCCTAATGAACACTAATGTACGCTCGATTTATTACTTAACCATGTTAGCTGTCCCACACTTGATAAAAACCAAAGGTAACATTGTAAATGTATCTAGTGTTAATGGTATAAGATCGTTTCCTGGAGTGTTGGCGTACAATATATCGAAAGCATCCGTGGATCAGTTCACACGCTGTGTAGCTTTAGAATTGGCACCGAAGGGTGTTAGAGTTAACTGTGTCAACCCTGGAGTTATTCTAACAGAGTTACAAAAGCGTGGGGGATTAAGTGAGGAGCAATATGCGGCGTTTTTGGAGCGTACAAAGGAAACCCATGCATTAGGACGCCCAGGAAAACCGGAGGAGGTAGCTGCTACTATAGCTTTTCTTGCCAGTGATTTGGCATCTAATATCACCGGAGCAAGCTTGCCGGTGGATGGTGGACGCCATGCAATGTGCCCACGCTAACACTTAACTGAAGAATGTGTTTTATGAAAAATTTGGTTGTACAATACAATTGTACTTAGCATTTAAGAATAACTGGGGATATTTACATACTGCCATATACATTTTGTTAATATTTTATTGCAAATAAAAAGCATACTTTGTTATTATTGCCTTTATATTTATGCTAACTTCTTGTTACTATCTTATTTTCTTTTACATCTTAGGGATATGTTGCAATTAAATGTGTCTCGCTATGGGGGAGCTGCCCATTGACAAATATACTAATTGCGAAGAAATGTTTTATTGTTCTTAATATAAACCTTGCTGTTGTTCCGATCATATAAAATGGTGTGGCACATGTAAAAAAAATTAAAGACAACTGTGGAGAAAATCTATTTATTCATATTAAAACTTAATTATAATTATCACAAAGTCCTACACAATATTATCACTTTCACCTAACTATTTATATCTATACACCCATGCCAATTCTTTTTAAAAATTCAAGATGAAAAAAAAAACATGATATGCCGCAACTAATTGTTATGTAAGGTAGGCATAATTCTGGGAGTTTTGTAGAACTTGAAAAGAAAGCTCAAATAAATTTTTAACAATTTGCTAAGATACCATTCAGGTATAAAAATATTACAAGATTCATAAAGTTTCGTTATTACAACTGTCATTATAACGCGGGTGCGTACAGTTTGTGAAATCAATGCATATTTACGAAAGACCGCGTAATCCAGTTCAATATTTGAGCAACGATTTTATCCATTGCAGTTGCCCTTGTGTAAATGTGCACATATTATTGCAAATTGGAAATTGCATAATGTCTGTGGACTGCAATGTTATAATTTTAACGAATCTTGTATAATCTATGGTTTCAGGGTAGACATATACTTTTTAGTCTATGGTTCAAGGTAAAAGCAGCTGATTGGCGGGAACGGCGGCGAAAAGTTTTTTGGCTTCATTAACGCAGGCGGCAATGATGTTTTGGAACGCGACGGGCGCAATGTCGCGGATTACGGGCTCCCAGTTTGCGTTGATCACATTTCCGATGGTGTTTGCTGTAAAAAAAATGTTATCTGCCTTACCCATCGTTTTGAATGCTGATAAAATAATATACAAGTGTAATGTTATGGACTCGCTTTACGAGTGTATTATCTCACGTGAATCTTAGTGAAATTGAATCTGTTAATGATGCATGATTGCAATTGAAAGATATATTGTTTAATATGTGATGATCATGTTCTGTATGAAAATGGGCGCATCTGAAAATACTGTTAGAATGGCATATTTCAGAGCATTGTTAAAGAGATGTAGCGAATAAAACTTGAATCCAATGAAAAGATGACGCAGAAACATGAAGTTATGAAAAGGAACATCGAAACACGCTGATAGGATGAGGAGAAAGATCTCGGAAAAATTATGAATGAAAGTCGAACGTACTAGAAGGTACCGAATGGATTCCTTATGAGCCAATAACCGAGCTTTTAGCAAACATTCCGAACCATTCAAAGAAGCAATAACTCCGCAGCGGGGACGCCTGCGAACAGTTTCTTGACCTCGTCCACGCAGTTCTTTATGATCTCCTTTATCGCCGGTGGCGCGATCTCTGACATTATGATGTTCCAGCTTTCGTTAACGAATTTAAGTGTCGTGTCCGCTGAAATAGACCTTGTAAGTAAACAGTTGTGTTGTATGTTTGTTTTGATTATTAAAAATTAGTAGCTTTTTTACAGCCCGAAATTCTCTGCTTTGCATAACGTTTAGAACGTGTCTTAGTAGTTAAATTTTTGTTGAAACACCGTTTCTGTAAGTTCTAAATGATGGTTGGAGTGACCTTACCCAACTCCTTATTTCCGCCAAATAGGTTGGTGAATTTGAACTGTGCGCGGTCCATCTTGTAGCTGTCTTTGTATCCGGTGACCACCCAGTGACCGTCTTTCGTCTCGTAATCGTACTTGATTACGATGTTTAGATTGGCTGGAATTACATTTGATTTCAGTTAACTATGACAGTATTAAGAGCCTACCCAGAGCAGTGACCTATAGTCAACCACGCCGGCCCAGTGCGGACATATCTTTGAATTTCTTAACTTGCAGGTTGTATGTTTTCTTTCATAGTAAGATTGTTGGATATGAAATTCGAAAAACTAAAATTAGATTATTTTATGTCAAGTTGTTTCTGAGTACAGTTTACTCACTTATCTTGATCTTAGCTTGTCCATCGCCCCTGATGGGCAGGATGAGTATCTGACCGTCCATCACGTAGTTGGCCTTCAAGGTCACGTTCGCAGTGAAGTCTAACACGGCTTTGCCTTTCTCTGTGTTCATTCTGGAAAAGAACATTGTTGTAAACAATATTAGTCTCTTAAATAGACTCTATAAAATATAGTATTGGTCTTTCCCTACAAATATTTCTATAAATATTATTTTTTATAACATTATTGTAAAATACACAAACCAAATTGCTCCTCGAAATATGCAACGAACAAGGTAAGTTGTTCAAGTATCTAACAGATGAAATTAAATTACAGAAGCGATATACTGACTTGTAAGAGTTAACTTTAAAGTTCCTGAGTCCAGTGACGACGGTGTCAGTGAAGGTAAGTTTAAGAGATGGGTTGTCGACCACCACGGTGCCCAGCTGCACGGGGTCCAGCGACGCTATACCCAACTCCGGGATCCCGTCCGCGAACTTAGGTCCCGCCAACTCTATAGACTTCTCTATGCATTGGTTCATGTTTGGATCCTTGATCGAACATGGCTTGATGAAAGGTGCTAGAAGGAAAGATAATTCTCAAATTGTATCGTAGTAATTACGCAAGTACTGGAGTTCGAATCTCGACTGGGATTAAATATTGTAAAGCATCTAACTTTCAATTTATTTGCCTTTAAAAGATTCGGTGTTTGATTTTATTTCTAGGTATTTTAAATATGCTGTCAATTAAAACAAATCGTTTATTACATGGGTTGCATAAGATCGTGTTTCCGGTGGCAGGTCGCGTCCATTTCGTCAAAGAGTTATAGACAATGAACATTTGTTGCAACTGTTCCGCTGCAACGCAACGCGGGATATTACAGCCACATGATATACAAATAGGACATCACTAGTTCTGCATTTTATCATTACTTATACTTCACTATTATATCAAATCTTGAAACAGTTTATAGACCAAGTTCTAAAAGATACACTAGTGGCAGCTGTTCTTATGGGAATGTATTCTCTTGTCTCGTTATTTAAAGAAACGTTGAATTGTAGCATAAAGTTTCGATTTGTCAACACTGTTGTGCAATGTGCAGTACCGACCGGGTGCGACCGGAGTTGCCACACGCAATGCACCTGATAAAATACGATAATGTTCATATGAACATATATTTAATTAAGATAATTCATATATTGAAAATTAAAAACAAAGAATTTGTAAGCTGTGGAAGAAAATATCACGTTGTATGCTAGTAGCGTAAGATTTTTTTTTAATTCAGTGTTCATAAGGTATTCCTGTACTTCATCTGTAAAGATGCTGTAACTAGAGTTATTACTGGTTAGATTTCTGTGATTGAAAACTAGTTATTTTGTTGTGCTTATTACATCCCAAGTTCACTTAACTCCATGATTATTCTTCAAGTAAACATCTTAACGACAACTTGGCATCACTTGAGAAGGGCAGCGGCGGCGTGACATTGAGCCTACAACCTTCTCAACCTTACATAACTAACCTCTATTTCCTTTTAACATACTTGCATAATGGGATTTGAACATTGCTCTAATATAGACATCTATACGTGGCACAGAAATATATTATATGTATCTTACATTATTTAACAATATCACAAAACAAAAATATTGTATTGATTACACGAGAAACCCATTGTTTATAATGTTTGATTTCTAAAACTTTTAGTTCTTGTTAAGTACTAAAAAGTTTCCCCATAACTCGGGAAATAAGGAATTATGACAAATGGTAATCTTTAGGTTAGTTGCGGCCGACCTTAATTTTGATAGCGCTGGGTTCGAAATCTATACTAATATTATAAAGAGGAAAGATTTATATTTTTGTATGTATTCGATTCACGTAAAAACTATTGGGTCGATTTTAAAAATTCTTACACCATTAGACAGGTAATTTATCTGTGAGTAACATAGGTTGTGGTTTTTATTATTTTTCGATTTCACGCGAATGAATTCGCGAGCTGGTCTTTTAATACAGGTCTTTTAATAAATCTTATACAGATAACACATGTTTTTGTGTAATTGCTAACAACTTGTAGTTTTATTCTACATTCCAGTCTGGTAGGGTGCGGTTTTGTTTCATATTTAAAAAAAAATTAAAACATCAAAGGTCAAACATAACCTAATGTTAACGAAAGATTTTAAAGTTTATCTATTTCTATTTACATATGCGTCAATACATCTTGATAAGTAGGCGTTTATATAAGCAATAGGTTGTTGATTATTTTATAAATATTTATACACTTTTGATAATGATAATAATCTTCTAGGCACAGTTTCATTAAACGTAATATTAGTGGTAAAATATATTTGTGTTTTGCTAAAGGCGTAATATTTTGTTAAATAAAACGGCATCTACAGACTCTTGTTCCGTACTCTTTTTTGCACTGTCAGTTGTTTATTTTTTAATTTTTCTGCATTAGTTATTTCCTTTATGTAATTATGGAAATATCATTTTTTATATAGGAATATTCTTAGTATATATTATTATTTATTACGCACAAAAAACTACCTATGCGTCGGAAACCAGAAATTTTTACCAAATTTCAACACGATGCGAGTAGGCTTAACCTTTGCAGAAATATCGAGTAAACATTAAAAAAACCACATGAATTTATACCACGGAAACCGTAAGTATTTCCGGGATAAAAAGTTCTTTCAGACTATGCTCTATATGTGTGTATATGCCGTATTACAAGGAGATTCATTCAGTCGTCTAGGCTACAAACTCATTCATCCATCTACGTAGACTTTCGCATTTTGTTATAATATTAGTAAGTATGAATTGTCATTGTTTTTTTTTCTTATAATGATTTGCTATTGTCTAGTCACCCCTAGGTTAGGCTCCAAGTTTCTCAGAAGGAACGTAAGCTGATGATATAAGAATAGTAATTAATTTGTACAAGCTTACATCATTTTCATTTGTAAAAAATCCAAGAAATAAATAATTACCGTATGCTATTTTTCATTTACTCAGTCAACATTTGCATCATTATGTATTCAAATAGCGTATGATTTGAACTAAAACTATAATATCATTATGTACTCGGAACATATCTTTCTTTATGACTGCATCTCAACACACAAAAACACATTTATGTGTCACCTTTTTGCCCGCGACTTCGTCCGCGTCTATTTAAAAAAAACAAATGTGAGTAGCCTATATGTTCTTCCAAATTCCAGTAATCCGTTCACCAGTTAAGACTACATCATCATCAACTTGCCCTTATCCCTTATAGAGGGTCGGCACAGTATGTGCTGCTCTTCCATACATCTCTATCAGCCGTCATATCTGAAACCACTCCTTTCTGACTTTTTCACCAGTTTAGACTACAAACTCTAACAAACATCCATCTAAACTTTCACATTTATAATACTCGTATTAGTATGATAGTATGATTTGCTAAAATAAACATCGTTCTGGACGTTTAAAAACATAATGTTAGTTTTATTGCTTATACGAGTATATCTGTATAAAACATTACTACTAAAAAAAATAAATGTTTTTCAATATCTTTCGAAGCAAACCAGCCTAATTTAAAACGATATAATAATGCCAAAAAAATGTTAAAATGTTAATTAACAGTTCGAGAGTGTATAGAATATTAACTAGCCAACGGATATATTTTTATTTAAATATCAATTTAAGAGGAAAATTGTCCTTAGTCAACCGTCAACCGTGACCATAACACTTGATCGAACTTGTTATTTTTTAATGAATTCAAAGATTGGACGTCATTCACAAACTTTATAAAATACTAGTTTTAGTCCGTGTCTCCGCCCACGCTGAATTAATAATATAAAAGTACGTAGCCTATTTGTTTTTTCAGGCTGCTCTATATCTATGCCTATCATTTGATCCGTTCTGTCATTTAGGCGGCAAACTCTAACAAACATCCATTCATTCGTCTAAACTTTCGCATTTATAATATTAAAGGAAGTAAGACTGAATTTAATTTGGATTATTTTTTCAGTATAATTTTGGTATACAAGCGTCTGAAAAATTCACACGATTAATTGTTTCCTTTAGTAAAAAGATTTACGAAAAAATGTCGATCATCGGATCACAGATTATAAAAACGTGTGAGTGAAAAAATAAAGAAAAAGGCGTAATTAGTTGTATTTATCCTCTATAATCAGAAGACGTAAGATAGAAATTATATTTTAATGGGCGATAGACAATAATTGTTGCGACAGTAGTTATTGTTACAAGATAATGAGGTTGTGTAACCTATAAGTATTTAATTCAATAGATATTTATATTTTTATAGATACATCCGAAGTACAAAAGTGAGGTTAAAATTCCCCCAGAGTCTTATAATTACTCTAATGCTTATAATCACTTAATTCCTAATAATGCATATATCTAGGCGACTTTCCCAAGTTTTCTTTAATCAAAAATTGAATTTAGAATTTTAAAGACATTTTTTTTCTAATTTGTTTTAATGGAATTATCTTATTTTTTAATCTGTATTAAAAAGTAAACTCACGGAGGCTTCCCGCCATAACTCCCGCCGCAAGATAAATTACCGCCAAAATATACACTGACACAGCCATTGTTAATTTAAAATTAATAATACTTTAAGCCTACTTATGTGACGCTATGTTCTACACTGAGCTGGATTTTTACCGAGCCTGTCTTTTATATGTTACGCAAATATACAAGAAGTTGTGTACAGTGAGCAACGCAGAACATTCACATGTGTCGACTTGTACTGACCAGTATACGAATAAGGTACAAATTCCATTGTAGCGAATTTAATGGTTAAGATCTAACTTAACTACTACTAAATTTAATTATAACTTTACTTTGGAAACTGCTCTTGATGCTATAATAAAGGGATTTTGTATATATGCTTTAAAAGGTCCATTGCATTAAAAACTCCTTACTGAAATGTATGGAACCGTTGATAACATTTCAAAAGCTAGATAAAATATTACTTCTTGAATGCGAAAGATTAGATGGATGGACGTTTTTAGTGTTTTGTAGCCATAGACGCTGAACGAATCTCGATGTGGCTTGGATGTAGAGGATAGTCTGGAAGAACACATGCTATTTGCTTTTGTTTTTTTTAATTCCACATATACGTAGTTATGGGCATAAGTCCTAAATAATTATTACATACTACAATAGCCTTTATTTACAACGGGAGAGAATTCAATTTTCGAACAATTTTCGAATAACCAATAGACACTTAACAACTTTTTGTTATAAAAGTGTAGTTATCTAAGTAAGTGTGTTTTAAATTCTAACATTGAAAATATCGTGATTGTAATGACAAAATTACTCTATTCATTAATCTACAGCGCAGTTTTATTTTGAGTAAATTTGAAAATTGCTAGCATTAGAGGTTATTATGTTTGAATAACAAAAAACCTATTATAAAGAAGTTTTTATCAACAGAGTTTTGTATGGCATAAAATAATGGCAATTTTCGTAAGCTGGAATGTCGTATTCTCAATACTACATATATGTAGTATATGTAGTAAATATATTTAGGGTTCATCAAATTGTAAACACAATTATCAAAACTATTTTTTGAAATGACTAGCTGTTCCCGTGCAGCTTCATCGGCATGAAATTATGAAAATTTTATTTTATTATTTACATTTCTTAAATTATCAATAGCAAATGTCAAAATGTCTTGACACGAGAAACCTTAGCAATCTCGCTTTCTTGATGTTGGCAGCAACTTATGGTCTCTTTCCCACATTAGGATTTTATCCAAAATATTTACCCCCTAAGTATAATGTCGTGAAAATATATAGCCTAATGCGTGGCGTAAATGTAGGGCTTTTTGTTAAAAAAAATTGTTAAAAAATATGCAGTAATTGCTGACATCTTAGAAGGCAACAAAGAAGTGTGTATTTACGCTTTATTATAATAGTACAGAAGTATAGATAGTATAGATGCTCTAATTTTAGGCTTCTTTCCCTTCCCGCCCTTTTCTTATAAGGAAAATGTATTTGTTGGAAAAGGGGATGCTTAGGAAAGGGAAATATGCTTTTTCAGTGCATCTTCTCCGTCGAATAAAGGAAGGCAACGCATCTGCATTGTGTAAGGGCAGCGGTCGCTTAGCTATTACGGTAAATTTAGATGTCCACTTGCTCGTTTGTCACATAGTGATATAAAAAAGCATACTATGAGTTTGATAGACTTTTTATGTATTCGCTTTTGAATGTTACGTAACCATAACGTCAGAAATAAGCGTAGTGACATAAACGACCGATGTTTTTAATTTTAAGATGACAAGAAAATTGTTACTAAGCGGACAGATGTTACCAATAAGGATAAAATATCTTATTGAATAAGAATGTTATAAAGTACGTTATGTTACAAATAACTAGGTCTTAATTTATATTCATTATTATGTATTAATTTTTTACCCTCACAACATATACGAGACAGGTATATGGCTGGTTGAATCATTTGAACTTGATATGTCGATTTATCCTCAAGAAAAACTTTAAAAAACAATGAAGCTAAAACAGCTTTTATTGAGGTACGTTGCAAATATTTCTACAGAACCAAATGTTCTCTAAATAATTCACAAGTTTAGTTATTTTAATGATACTATAATTAAAGACATCGTTTATTTCGGACACAATGGTATTGCAGGTTATATTAATTTGGTCTCATTACGTAGTTGAGATGTCAGTTTGCGCGGGAAATCGCACAGATTAACATAACATTCATTTTATTAAGATGAACTACGAATTCACATATGTAATATTTTTTCGAAGGATAAATATTGTCGCTTCGCATTCATGTAATTACTTTAATTTCTCTTGTCATAGACTAAATACCATCATCAGTATGTTCAGCCGTCCAAGTTGGCAATATATTTTATTTAAAAAAATCAGAACTGTCAATACTGCGTTAAACTTCTTACATCAGTCGATTAAGGTTGTCTTGATCTAAAGTCCAAGTAGCATCTAACCATCACAACTCTGAGTACAAAACCAATATCTATCTGATATTTTATTATAATGAACGCGTCATTACATCGAGTACTTTATCTTTAAAAAAATATTTATTTAGTCGTATGTTTGCATGTACATATTGTTTTTTTACCTTTCAAAGTGACTAATATGTTATCTAATGTAATTTTGGATATTCAAACGACAAACAATGTGTTTAATGGAAAAGTACTTTATTTATATCCGTAAATATAATCGACTAATACGATATTGTCTTGACTGTTATCAAATTGAAAACAACGACGAAATGATCTATACTAGTTAATAATATGAAGGGGAAAGATTTGTATTTTTTGACCGACATCAAAGTAATAATAATTGTACAAGACAGGACAGGACTATTGCTGCCAATAGACCTGATATAGTAATAATAGATCGGTCTGAGAGTTGTGTAATGTTAGTCGATGTCACTATCCCACATGACGAGAATCTCGTGAAAGCCGAAAATGAAAAACTATTAAAATATTTGGATTTGGCTCACGAGATTAGCGCCATGTGGCGTATGAAATCGACTACCATTATTCCGATAGTCGTTTCGGCACACGGGCTGATAGCGAAGAGCTTCGACCAACACCTCAAGAAGCTCTCGCTAGACAGTTGGATTAAGGGCCCGATTCAAAAGGCGATTATTTTAGAAACCGCACGAATAGTGAGGAGGTTCCTGTCTCTGCAGCCCTGACCACTGGTTGCTTGAGTCATCGGATTCCGCAGCCGGTGGACTTACTATTTTTTTATATAATATGTTTTATTTTGTTATTTTTTTAAGAAAATCATGTGAAATGTATTATATATAAAAATAAGAGAATAAAGATTGTACAATATAGACATAACAGTTACAATAAAATAGGTTTACTATTTTCAAGGAATTATTTCGTTACTTTTTAGCGTACTGTTTTTTTTGAGAATATTTTGTTTTTAGTGTATTTTGTATGTATTGAAATAGTTCAAAAACTACTGGGCCGATTACAAAACTTTTTTCATCATTAAAAAGCTACGTTATCGCGAAACATAGGCCATATTTTATATTATTTTTAAATTCCACGTGGATAAAGTCAGGAACAGCTCGATATTTCTTCGGATATCAAGCTCTAACCCTGAAGAAGGACCTCCAAAGGGTATAAAACTAATTGGTACATACACCTAATGTAAAATATAAGATAATCCGCGATCTCTCATATCTCACAAAAGGTTTAATAAGTTAATTCCTATTTAGATAAAATTAATTTAAGCGTTGAATGCTTTTGTATGGATGAACCATTTGTTTTGTCAACGAACGAACTCGTAAATATATACCAGATTTAAAAATTCTATAGCAAATAAAAGGAAATAGAATAGTATTTTAGTCCTAACGAAGAAGTTTTATCTGTTGGGTACAGATTATAAATTAAAAAAATTCACTGCACAATACTGTCGTGATCGCATATTGACCTCTTTAGCGTTCAGTTAGATAATTAGCTCTTAAAACCCAAGTATGACACTTGAACCTTGTCTGTTAGCGTCTATTTTTCTTTAAAATCAATAACCAGTAAGTATTTGCGTCAATCAACAATTTTGCACAAAGGAAATTGCTGGCATTTGCATTTTTTTAAAGTTTGCAGTAAAAGTTCATTACACTTGAGCGTTGTGTCAACTTTATTTGACCTTTGTGTAAAAAATTAACAAATACAATAAGGTGCAGAATACAATAAATACTTTCTTACCTAAGTTTGGTGTCAAAAAACTGCAAAATTTGAGGACTATTTGAGGTCACTGGCTTCCTTTTTAAATCTAACATACTCGTATAATGTCAATAAAATTTATGGTTAACTAAAATATTCCATTGATATTTTATGGCAAGGGTTAGGACAAGACCAGTGTGTGTTGGTTGTTTTTTAGGTTTTAAATGTGTTACTAAGAATTATTTTACATTACAAAGTTATTCACACGAAAACATTATAAACATATGTCTACTTCCCATCATAATAAATGCTAGTCTATTAATATTGAAAAACATGCATTTGAATAAGAATTACAAACCATTAAAGTGTTTGGAAACCTTTATTATTGAACACTGCTAAATGAGTCGATCATTAAGTCCAGGAATAAAGCGCCTTTTAAAATACAATAGCAAGGTAAGGCAGTTAAGAACCAATGCTCTTTGAAACTGAAAGTGTCGTTTAGTCTCCGCGTCATAAATGAAAATAATTTACATGGTTATGTTTGTTCTTCACATTGCGCATATTCGCCCATGGAAGATCAATTTTAATTATTTTAGAGGTTATTTTCTACATTTAATTAGAAGGAAGAATTGTTGTTAACATTTTGAATGAAACTTAAATGTTGTATTTGTTGTGTGGTCGCGGCCTGTCTTCGAATCAATATATTTCTCTCTGCATTATATTTACAAAGGAGAATGTCGTATTAATTTTGCGGCTAGACACGACCTTTTAGCAACATCAGAACAATGGGACCGTTACATTGATAGATTTGTACGTAAATACATGTTTTTTTACTTAGTTGAAATGAGGTACTGGGAAAACCGCAGTTCGATAGTTCACTCCAAGCAAAACTATGAAAAACCCAAGATTTATGGTCCATCACTACCAGCTGGATTGGTTAAAAAAATTCGTAAGATTAAAATCAGGAATTATTAAAAGTTACAATAATAGTCAAATTTTAATGTTATTTATAGTATCATATAATCTAACAAATAATGGTTTACTTTAAAATGTATTTTAACTGTCGAATTCTGTTGTGTTTAAATTAAAAATAGAGACATCACTATGGCCTTTCCTTCTTCTTTCAAACAATGCGTCATACAAAGATCTATTTGGGCATTCATAAACAATTATTTTAATTGATGTAAACCGCAAAACCTACACTCGAAGGTACAGAGTAATTTAATTTTAGTCATCATTATCTTCCTTGCCTTATCCTAGTATCACGATAAGATCGCAAACGTGCAAGCGGCCACCTGAATCCATCAAAAAGGCGAAGCGACTGCTGCCCATAGACATCCGCAATTGCAGATGCGTTGCCTACCCTTATACGACGGAGGAGGAGACGCAAATAAGAGGACATTTCACCTTCCTATGCATCTCCTCTGCCGTCAAATCCACTTCCCCTTCCCATCCTCTCCTTATAAGAAAAGGGTGGTAAAGAGTAAGGGACTTAAATTAGGCCTCCGGCACCACACTCATCAGACGAAACACGGAATTGCTTCCATTTCACGCCTGTCTTCTGTGTGGTCGTGGTATTACACCGGGCGTCCCGGACCATTCGTGCTATAATGTTAAAGCGGGCACTACCACTGTAGCTAGCTAGTTACAGAATAAGGAGCGTTTATTATTTATTACAGTGTTTGTCACACTATACGCTTTGTAATCAAGAGGTCTTAAGATTGATATCTGTAATGTACCAATGCTTTTGATTTTAGAAATATTGTTTGATGAAATTCAAGGTTTCTAGTTGTCCCGCCAGGGCGGACTTAGTAACTTATAATAGTTTGTAACAGAGTTGTCTAAATCTGGAAGGAGGTTGTTTACGAGCTGATAACAGATTTAAATGAAAGCGTACATTATGAAAATGTATATTTAATTCAAATTCTTTCTTTAATTAAATACACATTTACAATCGATTGTTAGTATATTTTTAGATGACGACGGCTCTATAAATATAATGTTTGTTTGTGGATTGTTACACTACTGTCTCCGTATTTAGTAGTTGGTAGACATGAGGTTGCTGGTGGTAGCTGTCCTGGGGTCGCTGTGCGCGGTGGAAGCCAGCCTTGGTAAGTTACCTGCACATTAATTATAATAAATTTAAAGCTATGAAATTGCTAGATAATGTTTAATAGTGAATTAAAAATCGCATAATAACGTATTTGTGATGTTCGAGAAATACAAATATTCGTATACTAGCTGTCGCCCGCGACTCTATCCGCGTGAAATTAAGAAAAAAACAAAAGTGATTAGACTATGTGTTCTTCCAGACTTTCTACTACATCTATACCAAATTTCATCGAAATCCGTTCAGCCGTTTAGGCTACAAACTCTAACAAACATCCATCCATCCATCTAAACTTTCGCATTCATAATATTAGTATGATTTTTGTTGAGAATACGAAACACACTTGAATATTTGGCTACTGGACACGTTATATTACTTCTTAGAATTTTAATGCAAGGTCTAGATTTTCTCAGAAGAATTTCTTGTTTTTCATTTGGTCATAAATCACGTTAACATAAATCAATAGTTTAACAGATGTTTTAGTATGCATTGTTATTTGTTAAAAACAGTAAAGACAAAGTAATTTGATGTTTTCCAAAAAGGAGGTGTCAATGCTCCAATGGAATATTGTGAACTTTCCTTGTTTATTTAAAAGGTTGGTGACTCGACGCTCGCTACCTCTTCCTGGTCACCCTTGGCCCTTGACTTTACACTATTAAACTTTAAGGACAAAGAGTAAAGAATACATTTACACGTCAATTATTTTTTTTTAATATTTTACATTTTAAATTATATTAAATACATAAACATATACTTTATCCTGTAACTATTTATTTAACTAAGTTTTCTTCTAATCTGTATTAAAATTAGATATTTTTGAATCGTAAATAACTCATTTTTTCTCTGTTTATGAGTTATAGAAAATAAGCTGTCTTTTATTTTAAACATATGTACATTACTTTTTCTTCTACAAATACCGAAATGTTTTTATACAAGTATAACTCCAGTGTAAACAGCAACACATTGTATTCCAGCACCGTTCATCACGCCATGCTACGCGCGGGACTCAAATTGCTTGCGGGCGTCGACGCAGCGCGCGATCCCCGTGGTGGCGGCGGGGCTGCCGCAGTTCGGCATGGTGCCCCTGGACCCCATGAACTTGGACGGCATTGTGGCTGACCAGGCCGGCCTACACATGGAGTTCAGGAACACCGTAGTTAAAGGATTAAGGAATTGCGAAGTGCTGAGAGTAAGGTGAGTGCATACTTTTATGTACCACAATTATACCTCGTTGCCGTATATAATTTAGAACCATTTTACACTCAGAGTACTTATTTAAGCGCTATGGAAGTCCTAGCGTATGAAGTTTCTATTCAAATTAGATCTACCCGTTCAGTTTGGCATACGACGTTCTTTTGTCAGACGCCAGTCGTCGCGTACGCAGCTGGAGGTGAAGTGCTCGGTGACGCTGGCGGGCGACTATCGCCTGGGCGGGCAGCTGCTCATCGTGCCAATCGAGGGCCAGGGCAGATACAAGATGAAAATACGTAAGTCATTTGCTCAGCATTCAATAATTTTTAATTTTAATCGTAACATAACAAAGAAGATCTTTTGATATGGTGTTTTTTATGTTATAAAATGGCTAACGAGCGAGCGGCCAACTGAATTCGCCGAAAATTCGAAGCGATCGCTGCCCATATACATCCACAATTGTAGATGCGTTGCCTACCCTTAATGAAGGGGAAGGGGACGCACATAAAGAGGATATTTCCCCTTCCTGTGCGTTTCCTCCACTGTTAAACCCAGTTTCCCTTTCCATCCTTCCTGTATAACAAAACGATAAGAAAGTAAAGAGACTTATATTGTCTTTCTCGAAAAGCCCATTTTTAATATGCTATACTCGATTGCTGTTTTGCTAGTCGGTATATTGGAGAGATTCTGAAACTAATTCGGTTTAAATGTGACAGGTGACATCCTGGTGAAGATAGATTTCCGCGTGGGCGAGCACTACCAGCGCGGCCAGCGCTACTGGACCGTGGAGAACTGGCAGCACTCCGCTGAGGTCCTCACCTCCGCTGAGTTCCGCTTCCAAAACTTATTCGGCGGAAACACACAGCTATGTAAGTCTGATTTTGTATTCTTCAATAATTCCATAATTATAATTAAATGTGCCTTTAAAAGTTGTTAAGCAACGTTTTCCATTGAAGCTCATCTGCGTTATATATCTTCTTTCATTTGCATTTTGATTCTTTCATAGTTCTGTATTGTTTATTAATAATTCCCCAAAAGTAAAATTTAAACAAACATACCTTGTTTTAACAGTTTTCCAAATAATTATTCTTAAATTATACATCATATTACCATTTCAAAGAAAAGTTAAGTTTTGCTTTATTCAGATGTTCCGGAATAGAATTGGTAGTTAGAATAGTTCTATAATTATTGTATTTTGTTACCGTTTGCAGCGAACACGGTGCATGAGTTCGCGAACAGCAACTGGCGCGACATCTTCCAGGAGGTGTCGCCGCCAATCGTGGAGGTGATCGTGTCGCAGATCGTGGGCGAGGTGCGCAAACTGTTCAACGCAGTGCCCGTCTCCGAACTCAGCCTCGACTGATTATATTGTTTATCATTCATATTTTTCAAATAAACTATTACTTTACTCATATCTAATGTGTTTACTTAATGACCAGGGCTTCTTGTTATGCAAAAATATAATCTTCTTTATCCGTATCAACCTCTTTGAAGCATCAATTTCAAATAAATTCAAGCTTAAGCAGACGTCAACCTTTAACACCAAGAACCCAGCGTCTAGCGCGGATTTTTAAGAAGTAACGAGTAAAGAAACATTACTATGGTTTGCGAAATCTTATCTTAATATAGAAGCACTGAAATATTTTATTAGTGATGTCCATAATAATATCAGTCGGCGGTCAAAGAGTAACTAACGAACACGTAACTAGACTGTGTTTAACGATATTTTTTAGCGTAATATAGTAACTATGTGTTCTTGTTTTGTGGCAGTTGTAACTCAGCTGACCATAAATGTTTGCATATTTTTATTTACTCATCGACACCGGGTTTCCGTAATTGGTAAGAATTGAACAAAGATGATGAAGTAACATTCTTAACAAATGTTTAATGAAAATCATGTCTGTTTTAAGTTATTTTTTGTCTTTCGCCATTTTTTTAGAAGACAAGGAAAACAGACTTTTAGTTGCTATGTTCACTAAGGTGAAAATTATATGTATACATTTTTGACCACATAAGTGATTTTTTATTGATTGCACACTCGACGCTATCCGTTATCTAAACATATTTTTACAGAAGTTCTTTAGTAAATAGTGACAGTAATTTCATCAATTCTCTATTATGATACTTCTATGACAAAGTTACGCGAGAGCAGGTCAATGAGCACATTACCCACCTACCAACATCAAGGTACAAAATTGATGACAAGGCATAGTTCATAATCCAACTGTGACATTATAAATAATGCCTAATATTTATTCCAGCGATTGAAGTCAGGGCTGGATTACAACTGGAAATTTACCTACGTAGTGTGGGTTTACATTTTTGTAGTTGAAATACAGATCTTATTTTGATCGCTGGAATGGGATAATGTAAACCGGGCATTAAAGGTATGTAAGTTTTACGCGAAATTTCGTACAGAACTCGCGAAGAAAATATCGTTAAAATATTTTTATCTGCATTTCAAAGGGCATTGAGGTTATGCGCAATAAGTGTGTTGTATTTTTTTATATAATGGTAACATTGGCTCCGTTTGGTCAATGTCTTTAAAAAATTTTCCGTTTTTACAACTAATTAAATGAATAAGGAACAATGATTAAAAGAACGATAACCTGTGGCTTTGAGGCCTTGCATTTGGTCAAGACGTAAGGTCAGTATATTTTGCTGACTCAATCGTAGCTTTAATTATAAAGCACAAAAATACTAAATATGCCATTCAAATTAAACTCAAACTTATGACAGTTTCATTGTAATAGTTTCATCTTTCTCCTTATCCTACTCGCACAGGGTCGGCGCAACAGGTTCTTGTCCTCCGAAAAAAGTTGAAAAATCATCACAAGTTAAAGCACAATAAAAGTTAATCATAGATCGTCTGCACAGTTACCAACAGATAATGTTAAGAGCGGGAGCACACGTTTGACTCAACCTTCGCATAACTGTTGTGCGATTGTCGATTGTTTCGCAGCCAATTCAACTGTTTAGTTGCACAACTAAAAATCGAGTAGTGTGCGCACCTCCATATAAGGTCCTAGGAATCAAAGCGAGACTAAACAGTTGTGCGTTTAGTTTAAGTTGTGCGCATGCTCTTATTCTATTAGAAAAAGAAGAATTGTAATGTTTTCTCGGAATATTTCGGTAGTGGCAATCATCACCAGCATCACTACATGTCCCCAACGAGGAGCTCGGAGCCTACCCTAATCAGGGGTGACTAGGCCATAGTCAACGACACTGGCCAACTGCGGGCTGGTTGACTTCATGCATATCTTTGAATTTCTTCGCCGATATGTACAGGTTGCATCACGATGTTTTCCTTCACCGTAAGAACGTCGGGTAAATTTTGTACGTACGTAAATTTGAAAAATCGAAAATCACATTGGTATATGGCGGGATTCGTACCCAAGACCTGTAGATTACAAGTCAAGTGCTTAAACCACTGAGCCACCGACGCTCACAACAACAATTTCAAGGCAACATGAACTATAACAGCTTAAAAAGTTCTTAAGATGGTAAAATAATTATCTTCCGATGTGACACTTCCAGGTTGAGAACATCCTTGGCTGTTGAGATGCACAATTTTTATAACTACTTTTCTTTAAGTCGTCCTTTGTTTTGTTTTCCGGATGACCAACTCAGGATATCATTTCTTTTGCCATTTCGAAGTGTAAGACAAACACTATGGCATATTTTACAAACAGATTAACATGTACTTCAAGAAGAAATCTAAATACGAGTATGTACCTTTTTAAATATTATTAGGCAGCTACGATGTCCTGGACATCTAGAGATGCTTTGCCTACCTTTAATGTACGGAGGAGGGGACGCACATAAGAAAGACAATTACCTCTCCCCATCTAACGACAACTCCAATTCCAGGGAAGAAACTTGTGTCTGAGCTGGAGACCCTCTTGGGTGAAGTCTCGGATTGGGGTCGACAAAATCTTGTCGATTTCAATCCTAAAAAGACACAAG